TCAGTCATCAGTGACTACTTGTACACGTAGGGTTAAGCATAATGTAAAGAATAGGTGTATACTAGGTTGGAATAAGCATGTGGCCGAGGCGCACCGACAAGCTAGGTTGGATTTTCAGATGTATGTCTTGTATGGAAAGCCTAGTTGCGGGCTCGTATACGATAGAATGTGTCTTAGTCGTAAAATATTCAAATCGAGACTAAAGTTTTGTCAACAACGTCAAGAACAGATTCGGCTGGATTTACTGGCAGCCCAGCATTCAGCCAAAAAATTTAATAAATTTTGGAAGAGTACGAAACAGCTGAATGGTAAGGCAACTATACCTGTCAGTGTGGATGATACAAGTGACCCAAGGGAAATTGCTAATATTTTCAAACAACATTTCAAAGTAGAATCTCCATTAATTTCAATGAGTTCACTTTCGTTTAGTAAAGACTGTCATGTCGATCAACCCATATTAATTACTAGTGAAGACGTAAGACAGGCCATTAATAATATGAAAAGAGGCAAGTCTCCAGGATTTGACAGTCTCAGCATAGAACATTTGAAATATGCAGGTCCTCATATAGATAGACTGTTATCCTTTTTCTATACTTTGTGTGTAAGGCACTCATACCTACCGTCGGAGCTGATGAAAACAGTGGTAGTGCCATTAGTAAAAAATGCCACGGGAGATATATCTGACAAATCCAACTACAGGCCGATCTCACTAGCTACAATAACAGCAAAAGTCTTGGACCGAAATCTTGATATGCATCTTAGTAAGAGTCTACAAGTACATGATGCTCAGTTTGGTTTTCGTGAAGGCTTATCAACCGAATGTGCTATTTTGACCGTCAAACACACCGTTGATTATTATGTAAAGAGGAAAACCACCATATATGCATGTTTCTTAGATCTATCAAAAGCTTTTGACCTAGTCTCATATGATAAACTTTGGTCAAAGTTAAGCTCAGTAGGGGTTTCTCCGGAAGTCATAAAACTTTTTCAGTTTTGGTACAGTAATCAGAAAAACACTATAAAATGGGCAAATTTTCATTCTGATGAATACACATTAAATTGTGGTGTACGACAAGGAGGATTGACCTCGCCGAGGCTATTTAATGTATATGTGAACAGTCTAATTGAGGAGCTGAGCAGCATGCAGGTCGGATGCCGAATAGATGGCGTCACTGTCAATAACATAAGCTATTCTGACGACATGGTGCTGCTCAGCCCTTCAATTGGAGGTCTTAGGAAGCTTTTACGTGTATGTGAAGCTTATGCTGTGGAGCACGGTTTGAAGTACAACGTTACAAAAAGCGAGTTTATGATTTTTAAAGGAAAGAACAAAGGTCCTGTTCATGTACCACCGCTGTTGCTAAACGGAATTACTATTAGACGTGTTCCACGGTTTAAGTATCTGGGACACATTTTGACTGAAGAATTGATGGATGATGAGGATATCGAGAGAGAGCGCAGGGCGTTGTCGGTTCGTGGGAACATGCTGGCACATAGATTCACTCGTTGTACTGTCAGTGTTAAACTGACTGTTTCAAAGCGTATTGTCAGAGTTTTTACACGTGTGGTCTATGGGCCAGGTTCACAAAGCGGGCCTACGACTCTCTGCGAGTCCAGTACAACAACGTTTTCAGAGTTCTATTGAGGCTTCCCCGATTCTGTAGTGCTTCGGGCATGTTTGCCGATGCACACATGGACGACTTCTATGCGATTATACGAAAGAAGACCGCGTCTATTGTGCAGCGGATACGGGGAAGTGACAATGGAATTCTGAGGATGATAGCAGACAGGATGGACTCTGCTATCCTCAGCCGGTTTACATTGTTACATGTAAAAAAATAGTCCCTTAGTGGTGTAGAATGTCAAATTATTTCACTAACATAGTTTTTAAGTATTCTTGTTGCTAACATTCTATGGATTGATTGGTCTGAAAATAAAGGATTTTTATTTTTATTTTATTTTTTTATTTTTTTTTATTTATTAAAGCGAATACTTCGGTATTTAAAGGGTACGCCTAACTATTGCCTTACTTTTAAAAAATCGGGAGATTTAAACTTGCGTGGCTACGTAGATGCAGATTGGGGTGGAGCACTTGATAGGAAGTCTTTCACTGGGTTAATTTTCAAATTTGGGAAAAATGTCGTAACGTGGGAGAGCAGGAAACAGGGAACTGTATCTTTGTCTTCCACGGAGGCAGAATACGTAGGACTTAGTCAAGCTTCAAAGGAAGCACTTTATTTACAAAGTTTATTGAACAGTCTTACGATTGTGGATAGAAAAGCGGTCGTCATTTATAATGACAACCAGTCTGCGCATAAAATTGCGACTAACAAAATGATGCATAACAGAACAAAGCATATAGACATCAAATATCATTTTATACGGGAATGTGTTCTGAGTAACAAGGTTGAGATCAGGTACATGCCAACCGATAAAATGATAGCAGATGTTTTAACCAAGGCTGTACATGGCCCAAAACTTAAAGAATTTTTAGGACAGTTTTCTTTAAATTTATATTCTGTTAAGGGGACAGAGTGAGAAGAGTCTTTCCAGGGTTGTAATGAAATACTTTTTAAATTTTTATTAATGTTGTATTGCTTATGTTGAAATGTTTTGTGTACTAGATTAAAGGGGCGTGTTGGAGATACTGACTATTATAATCTAGTTCCATAAGATTTGAATTGGTTGCCATAGCAATAAGAAACTATTGACAAAAAAAAAATACAACTATGTCTATGTGATATGTGCCGTGCTTTATTATTTCCTCATTAATCCACATAATTTTCATCTTAGTACATAATAACTTTTATTTGTCTTCTTATACTACAAGGGTTACGCTATTTTACGGTGTACGCTATTTTAATATATAAATTTAAGCTTTTTTGCTGATGCACAAAAACATTTGCAAGAACAGTTTACAGTGCTGCTATGAATGTGACGAGATCAGCCGTCAGTGATAAAGTGTAATAATTATGTTGAATCAATATGGTCACTACGACATAATGAAAAGTAGTGACTTTTGGTGTGCTGTATTATTTCAGTATTGTCCATGAAGGGGTTAAATTACGTTAGTTAAATTTAAAATCAAGTGAAATAGATTGAAGTAATTATGTCAAAAATAATTTAAAACAATGTATGTTACATAGTATTGGCAAATTTTGTTATAATATTCACGTATGTGCATTACATAGTGTGAATAAAGATAAATTATCCTGGCAAATGTTGAAAGCTCATACATTTTCCTCATTATCGGATTGCTGAATGATTTCGTCTGTTGCTAGCGTGATATCAGCAGTTTCAATACTAATGTCTTCTGTAGTGGTAATGATGGTAACGAACATTTTCCGTGGTCCCTCTTCTCAGAAGGCAAAGAACTTTACCAGGTATAGGTAGAGATTTATTATGTTTGTGACATGAACTAAATGTCAAAGAGGATAAATAAGGATCTGATGATTCCAGTGTAAGGTGAAACAAGTCCATGATGGTCGTTTTCCGATCCAACTTTCATGTATGGTGCTCTCGATCATAATGTCAAAACTTGTTCCTTGACTCACCGACTTGTTCCGATAACATACCTATTGGTAATGCGCTACACTCAATGAATATAAAATATTGCACTATTCAGTGACAACCCTAACCCAAAATTTAAAAATTATATATTTCTGGTCTCTTGTGTTTGTCGCATCTGGATTTTTTTATGGTAGTACTTATTACTGTCATTAACAAATCCACATTGAAAAAACATGATAATATGTACAAAGTCTTCAGAAAAAAATGGATTAGACTATAGAATAGATAGAATTAATTGTTATTAATTGTGCTCCAGGATAGCTTGATATTTTTTAATTTTTGGACTTATTATTTACTTACTATTTTAGTAGTTTTCTATCATAACATGAAATATTTAATGAAAAGTCATTTACAGGAAAGGAGATAATCTGATTTTAAGGTCTATGGATTTTTCTCGATTTTTACATTTCTCTAAAACTATGATAGATATAGCCCGGAGAGTTTAATTAAGAGCTTTGTTTGAGTATTATCCTTCTAAAAAACACATAAAATGAGATCCGCAACTTAGGTAAAATAACAGACTGTGGCAGGTAGTCTATCAAAGTCACTGTTAATAATTGCTCTTAGACAGCATTCTGGTCACATTCCATTAAATAAATTTTACTATCTCATGAGATGGGCAGAATCCCCTCAATGTCGATTCTGTAACAAGTTGGAACACATGCTTCATTTAATGGAATGTGATCGATATATGGGCTGTCGGGCACAATATCAATTAAAAGACATTGGTCATGTAGGAGAGCTAAATGTAATGCTGAGGAACCCGTAACCTCCAAATACAAATTATTAAAATCATTGTTCAACTTCCAATTACATGGCTGAGACTGGACCACCAATTTCTATATTTATGACGACTTTCAGTTTGTATATCAATTTATTCTTTGTTTGTGAATAGGTGTCAGTGAACTTGTAATGTCACAAAATGGTGGACTGATACTACTACCTATAGGTTAGTATTCGATTTGCATATGGTGCACTTTGACAAAGCACCATACATGTTAAAAAGACAATCTTCCAACTTATTATGTTATCAAACAACCAGACTTACTTACATATTATAATATACAACACAAGTTTAAACAATAAAAATCTAATATTTAGAGCTAAAGGATACTTACCTGCTAATGCACATTTATACAGCGAGCCTACAACAAAGTATATTGCAATCACGTTATACGAACACCGCACATGGAAGCAATATTTGAGTAATTACTTCCTTATACAAGGCAATGACCAGCAACTTTACACTATTTCAATTGAAACAGTGAACATGTTGCGTATAACTGAATTATATAGAGTTCAGCGCATAGGTGTTTGCAGTAAAACTGCATATAACAAATAATCAATACTAGCCGGCCAGACGCGGCGCATAGTACCCACCTACCGGGCATAACGCAAGCATAAGTTTAGTACAAAGTGAATTCACTTACCACGGTCCCGTGGTTACAACTGCATACGCGAATCGAATTAAAATTATTCATACAAAACACATTTATTTAGGCGATTAAACTGAATTACACAAAATAAATTCAAAGTTGTCTTCACTTTACTTTTTTGTAAAATCAATGCATTAGCAACGAGGACATCGTCGTTGACTCCACTGTCAATGTCAAAAAATACAACTCATCCTGTGCTCGACTAGAGGTGGGCGTTTAACAGGCAAGCACTTAAAAAGTTTTCAGTCAGTTCAATATTCTCCAATTTAATTTTTTACAACGGGCTTAAACGAACGTAGTGCATAAATTCTCTTTGTTAAACGGCCCATTCACTTCCTGTCAGGCAGTCCTTCGCGCAGGCATAAGACTGCTCACACGCTATCCAACGTATGGCATCAATTTTGTTGGAAAACTTGCAATATTAGTATCATAATGTCCATTACTTACTACACTTCCAAAAATGTCTAAAATCTTGAGCTGTTTCATCTTCAGCATAGTATACTATATGAATTCCCAGTTTGAATTTCTGTAATCATAGAAATTTGTGTGTTGTTGTGATACATGGTTGCATCTGGCAACAACATTAACGGTCCTATTCCAGAACTCTACTCAATACTCAAGTCTGGACATGAGTATTGCAGTGAGCACTGAAAATCATACTCAAGTCCTTGCCATTAGGGTCGTATTTCCAGTGCTTGAAATCCTACTCAAGTCTGCTCAAATCCTACAAAACCGACAAACAGCAGTTCATCACGTATGACGCCGGACTACTCACACTCCTGCCTGGAAACTGCTAGCGCAGGGTGGAGCTTGCTGCAGTCTTGCAGGACGCAGGCATTGCAAGATGGCTTGTACACTACGACTACATTCATAATCCTGCATTCAAGCGTTAGAAAAGCATGCTTTTTAAAAAAACGCGTACCGTTTAAAAAAATAAGCAGTTTTTCCTCATCCCATCATCAATTCTGTTGATGTGGTAGAAAACCTAATAAGGTTTTAGAACAAATTTATTCGACAAAGTTTTTAGTACGCAATTGAACAGTTTGAAACTAATATTGCTTTGTAGAAAACAGTCGTCATCTTGAAGTATAATTAAGAAGATATTTTTTGAAAACATTTATATACCTTTATATTTTGGATGACAAAAGATCATAATTCCGTTATATATATATATAATGTAATAATATATATTGTTCTTAGAACATTCATTACCATACATTAGTAATAAATTAAAAAGCCATTAACTATAATAATTGAGACATTGAAAATAACACATTCTCTGTAGTTATCCAAATCAGCTGAATGTTTGTTCAGTACTAAGTTAATAATGTTAAAAGTGGGCCAAATCAAATAAATTTTATGTCACTTAACCACGCTACACAAACCAAATTTAGATAGAATTTTATATTCGTTAGTCTTTTTGTTAAATTAAATTACAAAGTTAGAAAATTTGAAACAATGTGCAGAAAATCCTAAAACAATGTGCAGAAGTCCTTGCTTCTCCTCTGACAAAGATTGTTAATCGTTCTCTGAGAGATGGTAAATTTCCCGATGAGTGGAAAAAGGCGAGAATTATTCCTGTCTACAAAAAGGGGGATCAAAGGGATATCAAAAATTACCGCCCTATATCCATTTTATCGTGTTGTTCGAAGATCTTCGAGTCTTTGGTTTATCCATTACTCGCGAATCATGTTAAAACAGCAATAACTCCATCTCAACATGGTTTTAGACGGGGTTTGTCGGTTGAAACAAATTTGACCGACTTTTTGTCGGATCTCACGTCTGAGATTGATAAAGGTAGACAGGTGGATACTATCTACACAGACTTCAGCAGCGCATTTGATAAAGTCCCTCACTCTTTATTATTGCTTAAACTTGAATCGGCTGGTGTAACTGGGTCTCTACTAGACTGGTTCCGTACATACTTAGGCTCGCGAGCTCAAAGTGTCTCTATTGCAGGCAGTGATTCTTACACTTATTACACAAAATCTGGAGTCCCGCAAGGATCGCATCTGGGTCCTGTCCTTTTTATAATTTTTATTAACGATATTGTTACTCAAATCCGTCACAGTAAATTTTCTTTATATGCTGATGACCTAAAATTATATAATACTGTGAACAATTTACATGATGTCACGCTGCTCCAAAGTGATCTTAATAGAGTTAGAGAATGGTGTGTGGGCAATGGAATGGTGCTAAACAGCAAAAAATGTTTCCACATAAAGTACACTAAGAAAATAAATCCTATCCCGTCACACTATAACATTGATAACACCGTCATAATGGAGGTATCAGAGATTCGCGATCTCGGTGTTGTGTTGGACAGTCGACTCGATTTCATCTCACATATTGACGCTATGGTGAAGAAGTCAGCACGGATGATTGGTTTTATAAAGCGAAATACAAAGGGATTCAAAGCTTATACCAAAATTGCACTATTTAATAGTTTATGCCGCAGTGTTCTTGAATTTGCTTCTGTTGTCTGGAATCCATTATATGCTGTGCATTCACAGCGCATAGAGAGCTTGCAGCGAGCCTTTACGAGACATGTGGCATACATTTCGTCAGGTATATCTCATAGGAGCCCATATGACCAGCGTCTCTCTTTCTTTCAAATTGTGTCTCTCCACGAGCGGCGAAAAATTATTGATCTTCTTTTTTTGTACAAGGTTGTGAATGGAATTATTAGTTGTGACCAAATCCAAGAACGCATAAAAATCTGTGTTCCATTCAACTACCCAAGACATAGGATAACAAAACTTTTTTATGTGCCGTCTTGTCGTACAAATCTACTCCTAAACTCACCCTTGTGTAGAATGTGCCGTTCTTACAACGCAGTTAATAATTGCAACTCCAGTGATCTTGACATTTTCTATGACTCTTTTTACAAATTTAAATGTAAGTTGCGTACCCCTACTTGTTAACATATTATTAGGAATTTATTATCTTTATTGTTAATTTATTTCAATAATCTTAATTTATAATACATTATCATATTTAGTTCAATCAATAATTTAAATTTGATTTTACAATTAATTATTTCAATTATGTATAGTTTAGTAATGATTTTTTGAATTTTTATTATTTTAATTTCATTTGTATTTTTGCTATTTTATTATATCAAAATACCTTGTGAGAGATGTGGATACCTGTAATTGGCTTACACATAAGAACTGTGCCTTAATATTATTATTTAATTGATGATTGTATTTATGTGTAATCTGTTGGTGTTCCAAATAAATAAATAAATAAATAAATAAATTTGTCATAAAATAACAAATAGAGGTTTAGAAAAAGTTTTTGACTTTCACGTGAATGTATCGGACCGGGAGAAGACTTTGACAATAAGACAAAATTTGATTAGAGCGTGATTCGAGCATAGAGGATGGGGATTCGAGTAATCACAATGATCATAAATAATAAATACAAAAAAGAGTCATCATAATTACTGTGTTGTTGATTATTTTTCCGAAAAATTTAAATAAGCGTAAATTTTCCCGGAAATATATTTGAAAAATTGGAAAAATATTCGAAAGCACACATGATGTTCTACGTTTAGACTTAGAATAATAACGCATAGAATGATAGTTTCATAAAAAACGAACTGTCACAAGTGAGGCAAAAATCAAATTCATGTAGGCGTAAGCAACTTGTATTTACGCTCGTCGGCACGCACACAAATATACAAATAAAGATGCCATGGAATAACATATCCCTCAAAAGTGGGGAAATTGTATCTTGCTTAACTTATCGTTAAGTTAGAGGTGCCTACAGATTTGCTCGATTTTGTCGATCAGGTATGCTCGATTTTGTCGATCGTTACTGTTGATCGACAACGTCAAGTGACAGGAATTTTCAAAAATTTATTTTTGGTAATCATTATGGAAACATTATCTAAATCCAAGATGGCGGACACGCCTTTTCAAATAAATGCAATATGGGAATCGTTTTCGAGGTATTCGAGGTGCTCATCACGAATATGGCATTTATTTCTAAATCCAAGATGGCGGACACGACTTTTGAAATAAATGCAATATGGGTATCATTTTCGAGGTATTCGGGGGTGCTCATTACGAATATGGCACTCATTTCTAAATCCAAGATGGCGGGCACGATTTTCATATAATGGCAAGTTGGGGATCGTTTTCGAGGTATTTGGGGGTGCTCATTAGGAATATAGCACTTATTTCTAAATCCAAGATGGCGGACATGACTTTTCAAATAATAGCAAGTTGGGTGTCGTTTTCGAGGTATTTGGGAGTGCTCATTAAGAACATGGCACTAATTTCTAAATCCAAGATGGCGGGCACGATTTTTCGAATAATGGCAAGTTGGGTGTCATTTTCAAGGTATTAGGGGCTGCTCATTCCGAATATAGCACATATTTCTAAATCCAAGATGGCAAAGAATTAGAAGAAGAAGAATTAGAAGTGTTGTATTCAGATTATACATGCCATTTCCTTATGGTTTACCAAAAATACATTTTTGAAATTTGTAGTCAACCATCTTGGATTTAGAAATTAATGCTACATTCGTAATAAGCACTCTAAAACTCCTCGAAAACGTCTATAATTCTCAATCGTTACTGTCGATCGACAATGTCGAGCAAATCTGTAGGCACCTTATTAAATACTACTCAATTTTTATTTAACTCATATATGAACAAAAACCTACAAGCGAGTTTAAGTGAGACTATCGAATTTGAATATATAAAAAGCCTGATATTATATGTGGGTATGTTTACATGAAAAGTACACGATAACAATTAAGAACCTGAACCTGAAAGTTATTTATACACGATTTTGAAGAACTGACGATGACTTTTTAGTCAGAGTTAGTTTCCTGAAATAATTTTAATTAAGAACTTTTAAGCCTGGGCAAGACAATTTTTTTAAATGAGTGTATGATGAACAAGAATAATGATTTTTCACATGAAACTAATGAAGACAAATATTAAATATATTTCGTAAAAATAGCTAACGTAAATTCCCTACAATGTTGTTGCGGCGGTGTTCATTTGTAGAAATTTTGCAACCGTTGCGATATTGCCTATTCTGAAAAAATTACGTAATATAATTATTTTGAAACAGAATAGCAAAATGGGGAGAAAAAACCCGTTACTTTGCAACATTTTCGTATCTTGTTGCAACGAAATTAATTTTCTGTTTTAGTGAATATTTATATAAAAATACAAGTTGCAACGCGTTATTTCCTTGTGGAATGTGATGTTAGTGTCTATTTTAAATTTGTCTGATCTATTTTTAAACCCAATTACCGCACAATTCGTCATTTTTAGCAAAAAATTTTGAGCTCCTCGCGGTGCAACTTGACCTTGAGCACTGACAGCTCGCTCGCTCGTGTAAGCCCATAGGGCGTCCTACAATTTGCCTCACTTAACGTGTGCGGGCTAGGTTTCTATGCGTTATTATTCTAAGCTTTTAGATATATCTTTTGAAGTTTTATTCAGCGTGAATTAAAAAATGAAGTTGTTTAGTTAAAACAAGTTAAAAATTAACTACAAAACAGCCGAATAACAAGTTTTCTGAGAACAGTTTACAATAATAGTTCTCAGAAAACTTGTTATTCTGCTGTTTTGTAGTTTTGTATACAATACGATAATAATAACTATTATTAGTACCTATTCTTTGTTATCTGCAATTAAATCGCATAAAATAGGTTACACAACAATGTTGCCGTGATGTTGCTGGGGCCCTTATGTCGAAAATCACAAAAGTTCCATTTTTGTCTGCAAAATTTACATTTTAAAAGTTTTTTCGTTAAAAGTTCTAACTGTAAAATTTATTGTATACGATTAAATCCTAAAAATAAGTAAAAGTACACTCAAGAAAAATTAAGCTATAACCAGAATCGATTGATTTCATCTTGTTTGCACTTTAGTTAAAAGGGGGCATTCATTATCCTGCATTGCAGTCCCCCTTGCCGTCCGCTGCGTAATGCAGGATTATGAATGTTGTCGCAGCGTGCAAGCCATCCTGTAATCGTACAACTTTGCTGCCGAGCGAAACACACTACTTTTCGCCTCACTATAGCCAGGAAAATGGTAGAGGAAAGAAAAACAATTGAACACCACCAGTTTTTAAATTAAAAGTCAGTGTCAGTGTTTATTTTCGGATACGTTTTGAATTTACACATCATCAATTTTTATTCTTGTTTGTACTTTTATTTTCTGTGATTAAGTGATTATTGAAATTATTCTAGTTCTTCAACGAATTAAAATAATTTACTAAACACAATTAGTTATCATTGTCAATTTAATGTCAACAATAATAAGAATGAAATACACGAACTGATTTATATTATATAAATAAGTAATGTACAACTAAAAACTAAGTAATTAACAAAAATGTATTTACGAACGACAAGTCGCTTCTTTGGACGTGTCATTTTTTAATCAGCCCATCGTCGTTTTCGTTGATAAAGTGCACAGAACGCTTTTGCGCGTAGATTTCTAAGGAGGATTTTTTTAATTAATAGTTTTGGTTTGGATACAAGTCCTTTGAACTATGTCTTCATTTAATTATCGAGATCCTCAGTAATATTTGCCGTTGTAGTTCTAAATTCTAATACATTATGTTTTCACTTCCTCAACTTAGTTCACTTGTTTGGGTTTATTAAATAGTCTTTTAAGCAGCGGGAGTTAATATTTATGTTTTACTTTCACTTAAATCACATTATCTTCTATCACTTTGAACAATAACTTTGAATTCCTAATTAGTAGATTTTCAGGATAAAGTCTTTCGTAATTTGGTTTAAAATAAGGAATATAATTCTAACTTTCTTCATCACTATGTCTTTCTTCGTTTTTTCTTCGTAATATATTTAAAATAAAAAGAATCTTTGTAAAAACTGTACTCCTATCGTCAAAAATCCGCCATTTTTTTACGGTTCTCTCTCTAAGGCATGGTCAGTGCTCAAAGAAGAAAGAAAGCCTTTTCGAGCTAGTGACGTGAAAAATAAATTTGAAAAAATAACTCTCAATGTCACACCGGCCAGTATGTAAAAGATTGCATACTCATGCACTGACAGTGTGAGCAATCTCCTACCTGCGCGGTGGACTGCCATGCAAGTAGTGAATGGGCAGTTTTAAGTGCACCACAGCCCATCGTCAAGTTCGATTTTCAAAACACTTTCCGCGCTAGCGTGGAACAAACGCTTTTGCGCACTTCTGATGAGATTTTTTTAATTTATAGTTTTGGCTTGGATACAAGTCCTTTGAGCCATGTCTTCGTTTAATTAAATTTCTGTAAATATGGCCGCCACAAAGAGGATAGGCAATTTGAGGCGGCGTGCTTGGATTGACTCGGGTTTCCTTAGAACGGGCCGATACGAGTATTTTAGTTCGAGATTCGTATAATTTCGCGTTTTAATCTTCGATTAAGGCACAATAGCACTGTCCTATTCCACTTTTAACTAGATTTCACAAAATAATAGAAAGTCAAAATAAAAACGACACTTTTCCCTCCAAAAGCCCAAAGCGCATCTCTAAGAAGAAAGAATGCCTTTCCGAGCTAATGAGGTGAAAAATGAATTTGAAAAGTTTACTTTCAATGTCACACCGGCCAGTATGTAAAATATTGCACATTCATGCACTGACAGTGTGAAACGTTTCCTACCTGCGCGGTGGACTGCCATGCAAGTAGTGAATGGGCAGTTTTAAGTGCACCACAGTCCATCGTCAAGTTCGATTTACTTACCGCGCTAGCGTGGAGATAATGCTTTTGCGCACTTCTAAGGAGAAAGAAAGCCTTCCCGAGCTAGTGAGGTGAAAAGAACATTTCGTATTGTGCACTGAAAGAATAAAATCGTACCATCGTTCAATCATCTGATTAGTGCCACTGAGAAATAACGCGAGAGATCTCACTGCCTATTGTCTTATTGCATATTTACTTGTTCGTGTGACGCATCACAACAGTAGAATAGCAATATAACAACAGCAGTTTAGACGTTTTTCGTTAATAAGTTATACATTGCGTAACAATAATGCGTTGCGCAATCCGCTGCTGTAATAATGACCACCTCTCTAATACTGCTGTGCTGTGCTGACATCTACTCTACTGAACTATAATTCACTCTTGGTTGCGCCCATAGAGTACATGGTTGCGCCATAGCTTGATCGTCTAGCTCAGTAACCAAATAATTCAAGATTATAAGTAAGTAGCCTCTTTAATTTATATTTATACTTTTTTATATTTATGTAACAAATTGCCAACGCCTCGGTGACAATGATACGCCATCAACTGCAAAGACTACATTGTAGTCTATTTCTATCGACCCTTTATGTCTCGTAGAGATTTTTAATAATTTTAATTTTGCGGGCTGTTGTAAAGTATGTAATTCTTGTAATTGCTTGACCTGAGTCAGATCACAAGAGGCGTAAAAACGCATTTAATGTTTGCCTTTTGGTTTCGGTTATTAATTACCTAATCATATGTGCCAGTAAAGGTCAACAATATTGCTATTGAACAATCCCCGTTCTCAATATTATATTATATCCTTTGCTAACTCTGTAGATACTCGTAATGCCGTTTTTCTCACAGATTCTAAAAGTGCACTACATCTTTTAGTCTGTGTTTTGGTAGGCTAAGGTATGCCTGTAGCATAAAGCAGTTTCTTTTTTTTTCATAAAAACTTAAGTGATGGGACGAACTAGTTGTGCGCCCGATGGTAAGAGACACGCTGGTCCGTAACAGTTGCCGTACCACTCAGATCTTTAAATCAAAGATTTGAGGGGCACTGCCACTGCGCCCGGCACCTTGAGACATAAGTTAACAAGTCCCATGTGCCCATAATTTCACTGGCTCTGAGATTAGTAGTTAATTTACTGTGCAAGGATATGTATACCACATCGCACTAGAAGGCCGTGAAATAGTGGATAAATTAGCAAGAGAGGCTGTCACGGAATCCATGGAATCATCATGTAAACCTCTTGCTGCAGAAATCATCCCATTTGTAAAAGACCTAAAAATGGATATGTGCAGTACGATCTATCTATTTAGACAGTGTTAGTACCAATATGCTAACATTGTCTAAATTACATTACAATTAATAATTGTTTAATTGGAATCTTGTATATTTTGTAAAAATACACATTAAAAAAAATTCTGATACAAAATAGTTTACTCCAAAATTCAGGTATCTGCAGTCAGAAATGTAGGTAGAACATAATGTAACAGGTTTTACGTAGAAAATCTTGCTAATAAAACACTTCATAAGTAATTTAACATTAAAGTCGAGACCAATTCAATGAGCCCAAACACTACAATTCTGCTGTAAGTTGAGGGGTTGAGTAGACTGTCCTGGTTGCAGCATTAAATCCAGGTTACCATATTATTGTAATGTCATTGGATGTTCATAGTATACAAATATTGAAAATAAATATTCATTTTACGACCGAGATCCTAGACTAGCTGGAAAAAGAGCTGATGATCTTTAAACAGCTGGACAGGTCACCATACATATACACAGATAAAGGCTTTAAAACTAAATCCTTTCTTATTTCTTCGGGGGTTAAAAACAGAAATAATGCTACCCCTTTACTTGTAAAACTGCAAGTAGGTACTTGCTGATGGATTATTTTTTCTTAGGAAAGCATGATTAAAACTAACTAAGTATACTTTAAGCAAGCTACACATGCTACCTTTACCCATATTTGTAGATAAAATAAATATATATGTATATTTCTCCATACAAAAAAAAACTATTTTTGATTTCTGAAACACAAGTACAAGAGCTGTCTGGAATGTTATCATAATTATTTCAGCAGTTTGTTTAAAAACGATGGCATTCCGTGCCGTTCAGTGGCAGACAGTGCTTTCGTGTGTCCAAGCTGATAATTCATGGTCTTGGAAGAGTTTGTGGACTATCCAGCCATTTTTTTATATGATAAATAATGATATTCCTCACAATGCCCATGGAAACTGTCTTTCGAAAAACCGAATCACTGACGCTTGCATAAATGTACATTACTACACATGTATTGTGACAAAAAAGATATTCATTCTCAAATAACTTTTACGAAAAAGATTCAAACTCAAACCCTTAATTGTCGGGAAACGTCCATAATTTATGCCTGCGCAAAGCACTAACTACTACAGTACTAACTCCTAATTGTTGTTGACTTTTGTTGTTTGTCTAGCATTATTATTATTATTATGGTGGCTTCATTTGGGGCCTATGCGGCCCCTCATCACTGCGATCATTAACTGAACTGATCTATTGTGATCACCACTAATTACAGTTCAGAGCCAAGACCAACAGCGTTAAGGAACTGAAGGACTTTCCTGGCTCTGACAGTTTTTATGTCCTCTGGGTTTGGCTTGTGTGGTGTTCGCTTTTACAAAATTATAAATGCGAATGTTATGTTTTAATTTAATCATGTAATGGTTCCGATGCTCGTTCATTTTTAGCTTACTTATCTATATTTGTTATTGTAAGTGAGTGTTTGTATTCTGTTTTGAGAATTAAATGTCATAAACAATATTATTTATTTACAGGGAAGCAAAATGTGGGGATTGTTTCTATCAGCCCTGGGTTGGTTGGGTTTAAACCCAGTGCCCTTCATCGCAGAATTGATAGGCACCACGGAGCCAGCACTGAAGCTTCTCATATCTATATTAATGGCATATCCATTAGCCGTTGTCTACCACAAATTTATAAGATCTCGAACTGATCTCCGAAACCTTTACTTCATTATAACAGGATTAGACATAGCTTACTATAATTTTGGCCTCACCCTGTATCATAACGCTGTTCCAATATTTGTAATGTACTTGACTACATTAGTATGTGGGCCAGGAAAAGTCAATGCTATTATCACTTTCTTTTTCAACATGTCATATCTCTTAATTGGATATACTTTGACAGAGTCTGAAAACTATGACATAACATGGACTATGCCACACTGTGTCCTTACTTTGAAATTGATAGCATTAGGTTTCGACCTTTGGGACGGGCAGAAGATGAAAAATGGCGAACTTTTATCAACCACTAATCAGAAAACAGCGTTAGAAAACACGCCTACACTGTCAGAGTTAATTGGCTTTGTCTATTTTCCACCATGCTTTCTAGTTGGACCTATATTCTCATTCCGTCGCTACTCAGACTTTATAAATGAAAAATATCCCTTAGACAATGGTAAAGAATACGAAGGTCTGGCATTGAAAAGGCTAGGTCAAGGCATAGCTTATCTGGCAGCATTTCAAATCGGAGGTAAGACTTAGATATGATAAATTAAATTTAATATTGTTGTGAAATAATTAATACGAACTTTGTTTCACAGTTTCTGTGTTCAACATTCAATACATGCTGTCTGATGAAATCTGGGACCGGTCAATATTCTACCGACACTATTACTGTGGGTTATGGGCTCATTTCGCTCTTTATAAGTACATTTCATGTTGGTTGCTCACTGAAGGTAATTATTATTACAAATGTTAGCTTGTATTATTATTCCAAATCACTTTCAAAATAATACATTGTAATTATGGTAATGCACACACTAAGGTAAATGACAAAATTGTGACAATCGGAAAAGGAACAATTTCACAATCTGAATTACTTAACATAGTAATTAAGAATCTAAAACAATGTTTTGTGAACTCAAATGTAAATAACTTATAATTATTGGTGTTCATAATGATTGTTGTTATTTAATTTTGTCATTATTAATTCTGTGTACCTATTACATTATTGATATGTTTCTTGCAGTTTATTAGTTGTGGATTATCAATAAGTAGTGAAAATCAGTGTTGCAACTTGTGGAAGAAAGTTGCCTTTTTAAAGTTCTATAGTCTGAAATGACTCTCTTTCATGTTATGTAATAGTACCAACGTCATTTTCTATTTTCGTTTCAGCATCCGCAATCAGATTTGGACTGTCATACAATGGCACACAGCAATTACCTGATGGGAAAGCAATAACCAAATGGGATGGCTGCAACAACATAAAGCTTTTAAGGTTTGAAAGTGCTACCAAATTCCAGCACTACATTGACAGCTTCAACTGCAACACTAACCATTTTGCTGCTGAGTATGTATACAAGCGGCTCAAGTTTCTAGGCAATCGACAAGCTAGCCAGTTCTTCACTCTACTCTTCTTAGCCTTGTGGCATGGCACAAGGTCAGGCTACTATATGACTTTTTTAAATGAATTTATGATTATTTACATGGAAAAAGAATTAGAAAATATTTTTCAAAAACTTGAAATATATGATCGAATGTGGTCTAATAACGTAGCAAAATATGTTCTTTATGTACCGTTAAAAATCTATACAATAGTCTTCATGGGTTGGAGTTTGGTGCCATTTGACCTCAAAGTATTTTCAAAATGGTGGAGCATTTATTATAGTCTGTATTTCTCTGGATTTTTATTGTTTCTGCCATGGTCGTTTGTTTATAAACCACTACTTCTCATTGGTATTAAAAAATTAAAGCTGCGTTCCAAGGATAGAAGCAAAGTAGAATAAGGTGCTCAACTGCATTAAACTATTAACACATGTACATTTAGAGTAGCAGCCTTAGTGTGAATGTAAATGGTTTATTTATAATAATAATAATGCATATATAAAAATTACGAAAAATAAGGCCTGAATGATGTAGATTTTTTTAGATAAATTTAAATAAACAAATGCTGATTTTACAAATGTTAACCGCTTGTGCTGTGATCCCCAGTTACGAATAACGTCACCCATAACTTTCCCGTGGAAGTCGTACAATGCGCCCAAGCGATGTCGAAAAGTTTTAGATTGGGGGTTAACTAATGCAATCAACTTTGGTATTTTCTTCCATTCTTACGTAGTGCCAATAGCCTGTTTCGATCCCTCCTACGTAAAGAATCGTATACTTAAATTCACAACTTTGCAGGAGAACGTTTTGATGTATTGAAAGAACTAAAATGAGAATAATACCTTCGTATTATTATTATCGTATTATTTCTAATTCTTGAGGTATTGCAATTAAATTTGATAAATATACTAATTATTTTTAATGCCTTATATTTATATTGCAGAGCGTAATAAACTTACTTAGGTACATGAAAATAAAGTGATTTATGAAAAAATGCACCTTTTTTGTGGTTTACGATAGGTAACGTAGGAGTGGTCGATTTGTTCTTGAATTCCGAGTCTTTGAATGTGTCGACAATTTTGTTGTGGTGTGTGGCTTGCGTCTATACAGTGGGTAACTAACGTCCTGCAATCACGCAGTAGTCGTATGGCTCTTCATCAAACTAACGTACTTACACACGTGACACTTCAACATATCGGGATTGGCATAAAAAATATCGATACAGGGGATCAGAATTCACTTTTCTGCTCATCATGTAATGAAACTACTTTTTTCGTATGTAAATCGTGTAATCGCGTCTCATAGTCACGTGACCATGGGACATGCAAAGAACCCGAAACATTGGTTGGTTTCTTTGAAAAAAAAACAACAAATTACGCTATTTAGATCTGAAAGAAATAGTTTCATTTCGTAAATTTGACATACTAATATTTATATACATAATATACATATAAATTTTATACTAATTTTTGTCAATCGTGATTTGTCCACAAAAATAAGTCATATTGATATTTTTTATGCTGATCGACCCACTTTCTTATAAGGATCATTTCATTGCATCGGAAGAGAAAAAATCAGGACAGTAGAAATTGGTCAATATGAATGTTTTTCATATTGACCAATTTATTTATTACCTTAATAGAACTACCTACATAATACTACAACTAACGTTCAATATCATCTCTATCTTACTGTAAGCAGGTGTCGCGAGTTTCCACGTGTTAGGTCGGCCACATACAGTCGGAATTCCGTTTCGGAATATCGATCCTAGATTCCGTATATGTATCACACACATGCGTTTATTTCCGTTCGGAATAACAAGACCCAGGTAAGAGACGCGACGCGAGGCATTCTCGCAGCGAAGATACGTATATACGACTGTGTGTTACGGCCCTACAAAATCTATGAAAGACTTGCATTCGGAACTTTTTCCATGCGGAATTCGCAATGCTTTGTGCAATATACGGAATTTCGAATTGGAAAAAAAATCCAACAGTTTACTACTGTATGTGTGTGATAAGTCCGTGATTTGTATATATTTGCTGCCTTCGAAATTCCGAAACGGAATTCCGACTGTATGTGGCCGGCCTTACAGTTACATACAACAAGGTTGGTTATAATTTTCAAAATTTTATGTTTTTACATTTAATTCACTTCGTAATAGCATGGAGTTCTTAAATCTGTGCAGTAACTGGCACTCTAAGCGTTCCAAAGTTCAGCTACGTGTAGAATTTATTGACCGGAAATTTGGAACACTTTAAATTATTAAGTAGGTACTTGAACTATGATTAATTTAGTACCTACATTGCATTTCCCTATTATATGAAACAACATTTCATTAAATTTGACCAACTTCTGCTGTGCGGATTTTTTAAAACTGAGTGAATCAACATTAAAAGAATTTTGTCAATATTATTCTTTTTTATGGACAACACATCCTTGATAAAAAATTTACTAAGTTTTGTTTGTTGTATTTCCTTATGGTAGTTGTTTCGGAAAGGTAACAATAATTGTATAGGCATTACTAAATAGATTAAAAGAAATTTTAGTTGTAATAAAAATGTGTCGGAACATGATCGGACAAATTTTTTCTTGATAGTTTTGTAGTTACTATTACTTAAGTTTTTTAACGGTTAAATCACTGAGGTAACAATGGCATATATGCTTCCAATGTGAATTGACTAATAAAGTATCCTTAGATAGAAGACTAGTGGCGTCCGATTCGTTGTCGAACATGTTGCCGAGTTAGCCAAAATGTTCGCAGCGAACGCCTAGATTTTCCGGCATACCGATATTTTACGTCAAACAGATCGAATAATGAAAATAGCATTATCCTATTGGTGGCGCCATCTTAGGGCCCCTTCAAATTAGACGCTCGCAGAAGCGCGGCTGTGGCGCTACAGCCGCGTCAATACTAATTTTCATACAATATTTCGAAGCGCAGCTGCTGCGCAAAAAAATGCGAGATATATATATTAATAGTAGCGGTGGCGCGTCTGCCGCGCCAGACGCGCTACTGCCGCGCCAGACGCGCTACTGCCGCCCTTCTACAAGCGTCTAATTGTAGGCGCCCTTAATCGGTGGTTTGGAAGGCAAAATCATTTCATATGTCCCAAAATCTACCGTACTTACAATATTAAAAGTAAGTATGTTTGAATATATTGCTTAGGCTTATACTGTTCTTATCGTAAGTACGGCAGAAATATTGTCTTACCCATTGTCGCAGTATTTATTTAATTTACTTGATACTTGAATTTAATTAGCTTTAGCTATGTTTAGTAAATATCATGGGCTGTAATAACTTAAGAAAATTTTGTTGAAGGGAAAGTAGAATAAGTTTTTATAAATATTATCCTTTACGGTAACTGGGTAGGCTTGTCTTTTTTCTAGTCTTTTCGTTTGATTGGCACAAGGCACAAGCTAATATCATTTCCAACGTTGTCTAGGTTTGGTATCTTGCATTTTTCTATTTTATAGTATGTGAAGACAGTATGTAATAAAATTTTTGATCTCTAAGGGCTTATATTACAATCTTAAATAATTAATATAAAAATAATAATATTACTTATATTGACCGTTATTATATTAGAAGTCTGAATTTGCCAATAACGAAAGTTTGAAATAATCACTGATGCCATGAAAAAGTTCAATCTAAAATGGATTAAGGTTCTGTGATCTGTGTTAAAACTTAGATTATGTGTGATTCAACCTTGTACAGTGCCGAGAATAATTGTCTCGAAACTTCATACAACGTACTCGTTTAAACTATGCCTTAAATGTTAACATGTTGCATGTGAACATACCACACTTATATAACAGGTTCTTATTAAAGTGAATTTTTAAGATAATAGAAATAATTACTATTACTTACATAAGCACGTGATTTAACTCATCTTCTATATTAGACTGCCTCAGTGGCCCAATGATTTGCACTATGGGCGCTGGATAAGGATGTCCTGGGTTCGGTTCCCGCTAGGACCAATTTGGGAAATGAACTATTCTAAATTGATTCTGGCCTGGGTATTCTGGGTAGTGTTCCCAGGTGTTTAAATAAAGTTATTTTAATGCAATGAAATGTTGAAGGTAAACTCGTTTGCCCTGTTTATAATGGTACAACGTGCAAAACACTAATTATCACTTTTACAGGTTTCTTGATATTAGTTCTATGTATATATCGTGTAGTTACTCATACAATATTTTATTTTTAATTTTAAAGCGGATATACCCCTCTAAAATCAAATCGAAGATTAGGAATTTTTCCTCTGCTCCCTCTTAAGAGGAAGTTGATATTAACGAAACGGGGATTTTAGACGGGAGGATATCTATCATACAGAGGAGTAACACTACGATTACAGTCAAAAAACAGGTGCTAGAGGGTACCCTCTGCCAGACCGCACTCACACGGGGAGTGATCTCGAACACGAACTTGGCCAAGAACACAGGAGTGCATATGCGAGCTAAGCGTAGGCGAATAATTGCGGAGGTGATATTTTTCGGAATCGATTTCCTAGTGAAGAACCAAGGCTTAGTGGGATGGGAAGATCAAGTTGGATTTTACCATAATGTTTACTTACAGTTTGACGGGAAGATTGCCAATGAAAGTTCCAGGAATTGCGCATTTGTGGGAGGGCAAGGGCTTTAGCGTCACGAGGAAAACATCGGTCATACACGTTGCTACCTATCATAATGGATTCTTTTGCACAGAGATCCGCACATTAATTATCTTTTAGCCACAGTGGCCAGGGATCCATGCCAATACCACCTCGATATTTTCCGTATGGCATTTAAATTAAAGATCTTTAACCTGCAGAGTAATCGAGAAGTTGTCTTTAGCATGGAAAGGGCGCTTAACCAGGTCTTGTACGCAGCTCAGTGAATCCGTTAAGGGATTTATTCAGGTGGTGGGAGTACACGTAAGAAACCGCTTCTAGCAGGGCAATGGCTTCGCCAGTTCTTCTGTTTATATAGCTGTCATTAGCCGCTGGCCAGTCAACCTGTGGCATAAAGCGTGTAACCATTATGGTGTAACCGTTCCGAAATATCGGGAAAATAAATAGAACTCATATCGTCATACATCGCGACAAGAAACCTACACAACAAACAAATAATCATTTAGTGAAGAACCACGAAAACCGAAAAATGTAAAGAGGCTAATGTAAAAATTTCCAATAGAATATTAATCCCTGCTTCCATATTTTAATGTATAGAACTGCGTACGTTAGGTGACATATAATTTATTTTTATAAATTATAAGTGTGCATTTGACCTCCATCTCACCTGATGGACAGTGACGATGAGGTCGACGATGGACCATACACACCTAAATAACGCCTATTCACTCTCGCCTTGAAAAGGCCCAAGTTATAGCGTTCAGGGAACAATTCTGCAGGCAGGGAATTCC